CTGGTCCCCATGTTTCTATTTTCACTAATTTACATTTCCCTTAAAATATTTCTTTTTAAATATTTTTCTGTCTTTCTTAATTCTTTTTAATAGATTTTTAATAATATTTTCAAAAGTTTTTTCTATCTCCAACATATAGGTCATCTCTGGAGCCTGCTTGTATTTTTTTTTTTTTTTTTGGAGAGATTTTCGCTATAGGGCGCGTGCGCTCGCCAGACAGAGAGAGACATAGAGACAGAAAGCGAGAAATCACCCCCCAGGGGGGATGGTCACGCCGCAATCCCTTCTCCTCCATTCTCCTCTCGGGATCTTGGGCACGCACGCACACGCGCCCGGCATGAGTTCTAAGCCACCGGGTCCGGGACACGAACCGCGGTCGACTACGTGGGAGTCCAGCGACATAGCCATTACGTTAACTGCTGGTTCCCTGGAGCCTGCTTGTATTTTGAAAGTTTTTACTCTTGATTGTATGTTCTGGCCTTTTGTATGTTAATGAAGGATCACAAAAGCTGAAGATATCATAACTTTGCACAAGGAAAAGTTCCGCATTCTCCTGTAGACAAAAAGGGTTTGAGTTGTTACTGGACTGGTGTGAAGTTAGATCTCATTTATGTTCTGCTTTTCTCTATTTCTGGACGTGGAATTTCCAGCATTTTGATTAAGAAGCTAAGCTCTCTCTCTCTCTCATTCTCTCTCTCTCATTCTCTCACTCTCTCCAACCCTTAAACACTGCAAGAGTTTTAGAGGAGTGAATTTCTCTTCCTTCTTTGTCATCTCTAAATTGCGGCAAATACTTTAGGGGGTTTCAGGCCTTATCGCTGATGCAAGCTTCTATCTCTGGTGGGACTATATCAACAGAGCACCTGGATACTGAGAACGACTCTGCCCTGCCTCTCCAGTTTACTCTGAATTTTCAGAGTTATCCTTGTGCTTTCGAAAGAAATTCTAACCCTCTGTGTCTGGTTTGTAGCAGGATCAAAATCTGCCAAATCTTTCAAGTTTTGCTGGTCCTTGCCTTTAGCAGATCTTTGTCTTTTAAGCACCACAAGAGTGCAAGAGGTATCAATCAGCCTCTGTGGTCCAGAGCCAGCTTCTTATAGACCTCAAGACCAAATTGTTACGGGAAAAACAAGCTGTGTGTTTCAGCTCCTGTATAATCACCTTTATCTCTCTAGTACTCCTAGCTGTTGAATGGACCACTGTTTTCTCTTTCCCATACCAACCACTGTATACATGCCCAGAATTGCTAACCTGCCATTTTGGTGGGTCATAATCTTTAATGTTTGATTTGTTCAGAACCTTACTAGAAACTAGTCTCTGCTTTTCTGATGTTCTCTAGTTAAGTTCCTTTATCTCCCTCTCCGGATCTACCATCTACCTAGCTATCTGTCTTTTATCTATTATCTTTTTGTGTATGTATTTATCAGCTCTCTATTGTTTGTCTACTTTCAAACTAGACATTTGTATCTTGCATTCTCTGTTAGTTCTGCAGAAATGCTATTTTGATCACAAGTGATTCTATCCATCCAGAAGTAAGTGTTTATCTTTCATTTTATAGGCATTATGTCTCATATTGTACCAACTTTCATTTTGAAACATTGTAAACCTACATAAGAGATTCAAGAATACCATAAATTTGCTAGAGTATTTAAAGACCACACATATACCCCTTATCCAAAAACACTAATTAATTGCAACAACTTTATTTTCTTTATCACCTTCTTGACCTCTGCATCAAGAACTATCAGATATTATATAATATTATTTTCTTTTTTTCTCCAAATAAATTTTTGTTATAGGGTATGTGCATTATCTCTGGAGAGGCAGAGAGGCAGAGAGACAGAAAGTTAGAAATCATCCTCCAGGGGGGATAACCATGCTGCAATTCCATCTCCTTCAGTCTCCCCTCTGGATTTTTGGGCACATATGAACATGTGCCTGGCATAAGTTTCAAGCCTCCAGGCCCAGGACTCAAACTGTGGTTAGCCATGTGGGAGTCCAGTGATACAACAACAATTTGCTGGGTCTGTTCAATATGCAATATAACTTAAGTGGATTTTGTATTTTTTTTTAACTTTTGTGTTACTAAAATATGTTTTACTACTTAAATATAAGTAACATTGTATTCCTTGAACTTGCAGAATTGCTCATCTTTAAGTACTTTTGGTACATTGTAGATTTTAACACTTAATAGATAGTAAAATTATGTTGAACTCTATCTTTTGTTTTGCTTTCTTTTTTTTTAGTTTTTTGTTTGATTGTTTGTTTGTTTGCTAAAGGCAAATGCACTCATCAGAGAGAGACACAGAGGGAAGAGAGAGGGAAAGTGAAAAATCACACCCCAGGGAAGATGACCACTGCAATCCCTTCTCCTTCATTCTCTCTCAGGATTTTGAGCATACACCCAGTCACATTCAGTATGAGTTTCAAGCCACCAGGTCTGAGACTCAGCTGTGTGGGAGTCCAGTACCTTAACCGCTGTGTCATCCACTGACCTCCCTAAACTGCATCTTCATACCTCTGTCCTCTACCTAGTCTATCTCTATACTATCTATGAAACTTTTAAATGATACAATTATTTTCTTCTTCAAGAGAAAAATTGAATTGGCATATTTAAATATATTGCCCACAGTTATAGAGGTTATAGATAGCATCCTTTGATGTGTATTGATGCATTTTTTTTTGTTTCCATCATAGTTTTTTGTAATAATCTGAAGGGTCTTTAAAAACCTCATAAAAATATGTTATAAAAAAATTGCATAGATTTCGATTATTTTAATTTTTAATTTTTGTAGGCTTTTGCTGTAGGGTATGTGCAACTTTTTGTAGAGACTGAGAGATGGAAAGTAGAAAATGACACTATCCCCAAGGAAGATGGACATGCCACAATCCATTCTCCTCCATTCTTCTCTTTGGATTCTGGGCACACAAGCACGTGCCCAGAATGCTTTTCAAGCTGTGGGGGCCAGGACTTAAAATGCAGTTGGCCATGTGGAAATCCAGAACCTTAACCACCACATCACCTGATGGCCCTAGATTTCACTTGTTTTTGCACCGGAGTAAAGTTGTATTTTAATTTCATTTTTCCAAAATCTCATTTATATGTTTAAAAATAATACACATACTGTTAGTTTCATTGCTATTTTGTGTCTCCTTTTCTGTAGGAAAAAGATCTTGGAGTCTTCTTTGACTCCACTATTTCCTTCACCATTCTGCCAAATATAGCATGAAAATATATCCTGTATTTGTGTTTCTCATTTGTCATTTGTACAACTCCTATCATGCCGTCAGCTCTTAGCTGAATTACTGTGTAACCTTCTTCCTGGCTTTCTGTATTCTTACCTTTATCATTTTATTCTTTACTTATTACTAATACAATAGCCAGACTAAACTTTTAATGCATAAATTGGGCTATTTGTCTACTTATCATTCGAACCCAAAGTCTCTATTTATACAACAACTCACATAACCTGGTACGTTTTTAAACATTTTTTGCTCCAGGTCTGATATTTCTCTTGTTTCTTAAACCCTCCAAGATATCTCCAATCTCTTGGGCTTTGATCTTGTCTATACCATCTTCACAGATAGTTTTCTTCAGAAATTCTAAGGCATTCAGATTCTTCTCTTTTTTTTTTCTCCTAAACAATTTACTGTACCAGCGACACAAATTCAAAAGCTTCCAGTCATTTTAAACCTCTTTTTCTCAAAAACAAAACCAAAAACCACAATATTAATTATGTCTCAAATCTTGATTATTTTCATGAACTATCTCATGAATATGTCTTTTTCTATTACTTACTTATAACACTCCTTATCTGCCTCAGAGTATTATTATTTTCTCTTCAGAAATTGTAATATTCTTCCCATCTTGTTATTTTACCTTCCAATATACTGATAATAGTGGCATCATGGAAATTTTCCTAAAGTGTATCATTTGCATTTCATTTACGGTTGCACTTATTGGTCTTTGAGAATTGAAACATTATACTAGCATTAAAAGACCTTCATGCACACAGCCTTTTATAATTTCCAAACTTATTCCCTACTGCCTTTGATTATAAAGTTTATGCTTGAGCCTAGCTTACAAATTTTCTTATTTTTAAATAGTCCTTCTACTTTTCTACTATTTTTTTTTTTTTTTGTTCTTCTAACAACTTGTGTTCCATACCTTACGTCATTTTAGGTTTATATCACACAGAGTGACTAACATGATAAACATCCTGTATGGAAGTGCATTGTATGAAAAAACTTAATAACTAGAGGGGGTTTACTGTATTTTTAGCCATTCTTAAATGACTACTAAGAAATGCAATTTAGGGACCAGTAGATGGTGTAATGGTTACATCACTGGACTCCCAACCGAGTTCAGGACGCAGTGGATTAAAACTCACACTGGATGCATGTCTGTGCATGCCTGAAATCCTGAGAGGAGAATGCTGGAAAAAGGACTGCAGTTTGGCAATGAACCCTGGGATGATTTCTCACTTTCTGTCTCTCTTTCTCTCCAACGAGCCCACGTGCTCTATAACAAAAATCTCTCTAAAAACAAAAACAAAGAAATAAAACGCAGTGGAGGATATTTATTTTTACTAAAATGATAGTACTTTTAGAAGAAGAAATAATGGTATTATCTGAGAAAATTATGTCAAAGGAATATGTCAGTTTTTATTTGAGAGACTAGTGCATTTGATAAATGTCTATTGGAATATTCTATTGATTTGAGTCAATGCTAGGTACTTTTAAATCCATGCTTAGTTTAGCATGAAAATTTCTTAGAAAAAAATATTTATTAGCTTTTGAAGGAATGACTTATTAAGTCAGCAACATAACATTGGATGAAACAATGATTTTCAGTCTTCAACTCCAACTTATCACACTTGGTACAAATTGCGTAAGAGTGTCTTGACTATGTTTGTTATTGCATCTTTGATATAATTTAAAAAATAGTCTACATATTTTCAAGTTAATATTAGGTTAACAGAATCATAGCTAAGATTGAGTCAACTGGGTGTTCTGTTCCACCTTATTGACCTTTTTGCTGCATCTTTCACGTCTTTATTCCTCAGACTGTATATCAGTGGGTTTAGCATGGGAATCACCAATGTGTAAAACACGGCGGACACCTTCTCTTGTTCCAGGGAATATTGAGAACTTGGCTGGATATAACTAAAGGTCACAGATCCATAGAACAAGGTCACAGCAGTCAGGTGGGAGGCACATGTGGAGAAAGCTTTGTACCTCCCCTCAGTCGAGTGGATTCTCTGGATGGCAATAATGATGCGGATATAAGAGACCATGATGATAATAAAAGTGAACATTGCGATGACCCCAGAAAAGATCAAAAGCAACATTTCATTCACATGGGCATCAGAGCAAGAAAGCCTCAGAAGGGGAGGGATATCACAGAAATAGTGATTCACAACATTAGGACCACAGAAGTCTAGTTTGAGTAAACCTATTGTGTGTGTCAGGGAATTAATGAGGCCCCCTAAATAAGATACAAGGACCATCTGAATGCAAATGCTTTGGGTCATAATGGCTGTATATAACAAGGGATTAGCTATTGCCACATAGCGATCATAAGCCATCATAGACAGGAGGATACCCTCTGTGGTTATATATACTGCAAAAAAGAAACTCTGTAGAACACAGCCAGAAAATGTACTGGATTTGTGCTTTGATAGGAAATTGACCAGCATTTTAGGAGCAAAGACAGTAGAGTAGCAGATATCACAAAAGGAGAGGTTGCTAAGAAAGAAGTACATGGGCGTATGAAGTTGGACATTTAACCTGATCAAGATGATCATTCCCCAATTACCTACCAGAGTGATTAAATAAATAAGGATGAAAAGCAGAAAAAGAGGGATCTGCAAATTAGGGTTTTCAGTTAGCCCTACCAGAAGGAATTCCTTCACACCTGTTTGGTTCCAACTTGCCATACATTCAGGTTTATGTAGTCCCTTAGGTGCAGAACAAGATGACATCATTCAGTCAAAACCAAATATGCTTTTCTCCATAACCCAGTAACTGTAACAGCATGAGATAATGAGGATTATCCTGCATTTAGATAAAGAAAAGAGATTAACTTCAGCCATAGACGCTATGTGTGCTAGACCAGCAATCCCCAACCTTTTTGGCACCAAGGACTTGTTTCATGGAAGATAATTTTTCCAGGGACCAGGACTGGGGGTGATAGTTTCAGGATGATTCAAGAGCATTATATTTATTGTGCACTTTATTTTTATTACTCTTACAATGTACTAGTCTGTAGCCTGGAGGTTGGAGACCCGTCTGCTAGGCAATCCATAAACATACAGTAACTCAAACTTTTGGAAATAGAGATTAGTTTAATTAACAATTTCTACATTATTTTTTTAAAAATACAGAGTAAAAAATATTTCTAAGTATCATAAAACTATTAATGAGCAGAACTGACATTCTGAGAGCAATCTTTGAGTCATTGCATAACCTATGCATGCTCTCTGCTTACACAGTTACAATCTGAGTAACCAGAGATAACAAAACATATCTTGTGATTAATGTGTTTCTATTTAAGTTTATCACACTGACTTCCATATGCAGATCCATTTTCTTTTTTTCTTTCTTTTAAAACTTTAATTTTATACAGCCACTTTATGTCATTGTAGCTTGTAAAATGAATTTTTCCAGCACAAATATGCCACATAGTATTCTAGTTAAACATATTATTATATATGTTATTGTCAACACATAATTTTTCATTTTCATGTCCCTTAAACATTTATTTTTTCTTTTTCCCTGGATTCCTCTCCTTTCACCCTCCCCCATTTCCCACCCTTCTCCCACAGTGTTTCTAGCATCTGCAATCAAAACAGATCCATTTTTTTCTAAACTCAAAACTCAGACCTCTTTTGTTTGCCTCGTGTTCTGCCCAGATTCTCTACTTGGAAAAATCTATGATTGCCCGTTAGTACTGTTGAGTGAGGAGGAAAACGTAATCTTTTTATTTGATATTTAGCAGTAAGATTGATTTAAAAACATGCTGGTGCTATTTAAGTTGTTCACTCTTCCCTTTGCATCTGTATGCAACTTCAGTTTTAGTTCTTCGATTTTTATCATTATTAAACCAACAACAAAAACCTTTTATAAAAAAAAAGAAAGAAAAAGAAAAAACAAGATTAGAACCAGGAGATGGTGTGATGGTTGCGTTGCTGTACTCCCACCTGTTCAATCATGGTTTGAGTCCTGGACCTGGAGGCTTAAAAATCATACCAGGTGTTGTTCATGTGTGCCCCAAGTCCCAGTAGGAGAACAGAGGAGAAGGAATTGTCTCATGGTCGTCTTCCCTGGGAGATGATTTCTCAGTGTCTATCTTTGGAGAGCACATGTGCTCTTTACCAAAAAAAAAACTAAAAAAATATATGAACAATTTAAAATGAACCAGGATATAGTGTTATGGATGAAAAGTGTATCTATTAAGTAGGTCTTTCTGCAGAAACATAGTCTATCAATTACCTTTACATTTTTTGACATAATATTATGTTATTTTAATGACACTCATAATGTAATATCAAAAATTTTCTTCATGTACATAAATGTCATACATTCAATAAATATGTATCACTTACTGCTCTGCACTAGGAAATAGCATAGTTTATAGAGATGAAGCAGCACACAAGACAAATCTTATGCTTTGGAAGACTTTATATTCTGTTATGGAAATAGATAAAGAAAATACATGTTCATACACTATACATAATCATGGTAAGTACCATGAAGAAATGTAAAGAAGGGAAAGGGAATGGAAAAAGATCATTGGTACTCTGTTTTATAGTATATAGCTTTCTTATTGCTCTTATTAACAATTACCACAAAACTGATGGGATTAAAAAAAAAAAAAAACTTTTTTTTTTTTTTTTTTTTAAGAGAGAGATTTTTGCTATAGGGCATGTATGCTTTCCGGAGAGACAGAGAAAAACAAAGAGACAAAAAAATGAGAAATCGTACCCCAGGTGAATGGCCACACTACAGTCCCTTCTCTGTTTTCCTCTTGGGGATTTGGGCATGCACCCACATGCACCTGACATGATTTTAAGCTAGTGACTTCAGGACTCAAACTGAGGTCAACCATGTGGGAGTCCATACACATAAACATTATGCTATCTTCTGGTCCCAAAAACCCAACTTTTGTTATCATTATTTTGGTGGTAAAATGTCAGAAATCGATTTCTCTGAGTAAAAATCAAGGTGTCAGTGCAGCCAAATCCCTTCCAATGGCTCTAGAAATAAGTCTGCTTTATTCTATTTTAAGCTTGTAAAATTGTATTCTTTACTCTCTTCCTTTCTCTTCAAAGATAGGAGCACAGACTTTTATCAATCATTACATGAACTTCTCTTATTTTATAAAATTTCCTTTTGATTTCCTCTCATGTGTGGTTATAGTTACTATCTACTCACCCAAGTAATTTTTGATAATCTCCCTATCTCAAAACCTTGGATTGACACACACCTGGCAAAATCCTCTTTGTCATGTATGGTAATATTCACAGGTACTAGAGATTAGAACTTGCATATCATTGGAGATTATTCAGTCTACCACATAAAAGTTGTTCAAAGGACTCCATAAAAGTTTAATTCTGAACAGAAAACTGATGAAGTGATTTAATCAGGTGCATATTTAAAGAAAGAATGTCCCAGGAAGAGAGGACAACAAGCTCAAATTCTGAGGTAGGATGTTTTAATAGTACAGTTTTGAAAATTGACTGAACTGTCTGCACTTTATGACAGAAACTAAAAGACTGGAAGATAAAATAACAGAGATAGCAAGTATAGATATTAGCGACTGTATGGGGGGGGGTGGACCAAGTGGAGGATGAGAGGAAGGATCTCAGAAAAAGAAAAGGAAAAGTAAAAACATTTATCAGCCTTAAGATTGGAAAGCAATCTCTTTGAATGATGGTAATATTTTTTACTTGTTTGACACGTGATGCACATATACTCTGAAAAAACGTATTATATGCTGTAAGGACATCTGCTGATTAAGTGTGGATAAAAATATATATGAAAAACTGAAAAAGAGATACAGAAGTAAGCTTGGGGCACTCTACAAGAGATTTGGATGTTATATTAGTGACACGGATATAAAATGGCACAGAGGATCAACATAGCTAACTTACATTTTCACAGACTCACTCTAACATTTGCTTTGAGAATACACTTCAGTAAGATAATGCATTTAAGAGGCTGGCTGAATAATGCATGAGAGAGATGACTTTGACTTACCTCAAAGTATCAGTAGGAGAAATGATTAGTGATTAAGAACGTAATTAGCAATAAGAGCACTGGTGAAATAAATCACAAAAATTGTGTCAACATAATTATATTTTGTAGTCAATCTCCCTAAAAATATATTGTAAACTATCTCAGTTTTAGTTAATCATTATGGTCTATATAGACAGATACCATTATTTTACCACAATATTTATAAATTTATTATAAATACTATAGGTAAATATGATATACGCATGTATTTTCATGTTACTGTTCATATTACAGAATAGTATATATAAAGTAAGATATATTAAATATGACATGAAATATTAGCTTGCACATAATTTCTTAATTATATAATTCTTAAGTATACATACACACTTATACTTAAAAATGCTAAACATTGAATGGCTTATGATTAAAATTGTTCATAAGATCAAAGTAGCAAAAAAGTCAACTAACACACAAATAAAACTTAAAGAACAACCACCACAAATGAAAATTGCAAAAACCCGTTTTTTAATTCACTTTGTCATACTGAAAGACCCAAAATTATACCTTAGTCAAATTTAAAAACAATATGCATTATTTTGAAAAAACAAAATTATGCACGTTCACTAGAGATGTGGTGGAGAAAAGTAGCAACTTGTTTAAAAAGAGTTCTGAGCTCCAGGAGTGAAATATCTGTGCACATGCCTCGGTTTTGTTGCAGAGTGGACATGGTAACAAACTCAAGCAAAGTATTAAAAAATCATTAAAACATCATATTATAATAATAAAAAAATGACATGCAAATGATTTTTTAAATCTATTTTTATCTAAGAAGGGAAACAGTTTATTTCCCTTGTCCTATAGCTAGGATATATTATAATCTTCAGATATTCCATTTTAAGGAATTTTTCACAATCATACAAGTAAATTCTGAGTTAGTTACTACATATATCAAGTAATAAATATTACTTAATTTAAGAAATCACACACACGTATACATGAAAGTATTGCATGTACATATTGTCCTTTTCCTCAAAATAAGATCATCATTGAAAGATAAACATACCCCAGATTAGGCCATTGTTTTCTGGAGGTTTGTGAGCAATGCTAAATCATGTAGGTGGTATCAGATTCTCTTACTGTGAAGAGATAACAGGAAATAAAGAAGCTGAAAATAAATTCACATAATCACTTCCTAGATACACTTATGACAAAGCCCAGAGTAAGCAGAGCACTTAGTGAAGAGGGCAAGGTGTTCATGATTCTTAAAAAGAATTATTTTCGAGAGGTGGCATGTGTTTTTATGTTCAGTTCCTTTTCTTCTGGGGACTGAACCTGCAGTTCACTGTGTAGAGCGGAATCTCAGATGTCCACAGGTTGCCTCCTTGGTATGCATTCTGGTCTCCTGAGACTCGAACCTATCATAGACTTGTGCATCCTCTCAATGATGGTTTAGTAGATGCTTCTGTTTTTACTTTGATAAAATGTGAACATTTCATTCTTTTATTTTTAAAAATATAAAAACCTTGTATGCCCCCTAAATATCTAGCTTCTTTTAATAAAAGCACAATAAAGATAATAAATTCTATTGCAGGAACTAAAGAAAAGTGTTCTAATTTTATATATGCTACTCAGAGAACTGTTCCAATATTCTTATGATGAGACAGCTGAAGTTTTTGTTTTTTCCATAAAATGAGGA